GCCGATGTAAGCAAACCTAGCCGTGTTGCTGTGTGCCTCATGTCGTGAAGACTGATAGTATTCTTCCCTATTCTCCATTTCCAGATGTAATGCTAATGAAATGGAATTATTGACACGGCCGCCCAGACGGTATAGTGATTAGGAAAGCCTGCTGCTGTAACGAAGTGCCCGAGCTCGAAACCTGAAGAAGGCACGGATGCTTGTAAATGTATAGTGTATTTGCAGCATGGGGGCCCTCTAAATATATGGCAAGACGAAAGTCCTCTCGAGAGATTGGTGTTAGGAAAAGAGGAGTGGGCGATCCTGGGACCTGTTTTCTCACGATGTTCGCCATCAAAGTAGGGGGCGAAACTCTGCGAAGTTGCGCTGTCACCTGTATGGTGTTCAAAGCTATTGCCAGCGACAGGTGCACTCTTGCTCTCCTTGCCAAGATGAAGTTCGTGGAGTTTTTCTGATGTTACTGTTATACAACGGAGATAAGTAACAACAAAACAACAACCATTAACACCCGATAGCGTAAATGAAAGGACACACTTTAGCACATCAATATTTAGATGTTTTTATTAATAAACGGTCTTTATACATGGGAAGTCTTTTCTCAGGAGCAATGAATATGCACCGCATAGCAATTTGCTGCTTAGTATATCCTAACTTTGAACGTAAATTTATGATTCATATTCAAATATGTATATAGTCAAAAAGTGTCGTTAGCTTAATAACGTCGGGAAACGAAGTATATATACATTTTCTGGACAAGATAAATTTTAAATCATTAATAAATTGCGTTTAACATTTTTTTAAACATTTAACAAAATTTGGTTTTTTTTTACACAGGTAAGAAAACTTTAATGAAAAGCAAATTCCATAGAGTTTAATTAATTATTATTTTCATTAATACTCAAAGGAAGTATTCATTTTAGGAGATTAATTTGAGTTGAACAATTCAGAAGAATATTATTAAACAATCGATAGGGTAAGACATTGGTAAAGTGTTATAAAAATGCAGTCAAATAATAGCGCAGATTTTTATTTTAGTTTTTGTTTTCCAAAGTTATATTTCTTACCTTGAGTATCTACCGCCAAACCAGGATAGAGGTTAGTGAGTCTGACTGCCGTACCAAAGGGCCCGGGTTCGAATCCCAAAGGCATGGATGTTTGTAAATGTATAGTGTTTGTGCGACATGGAGGCATTCTAAATATACGGCGAGTCGAAAGCTCTCTCTAGAGGCTGAGGTAGGGGAAGATGGGAGACGTTCAGATTCGTCCCTCCGCTGTGCTCTTCCTTCAGAACTTAGGGCGGAACTGAGCAAAGTTGTACTTCACCTGTATGGTGGGTCCCCAGTGCTCTTGCTAACGACAGGCGCAATATTTCCACTTTACCATGATGAATTTCGTGGGCTAGTTCTGATATCAGACAAGCGTAGCAACACAACAACCTTGAGTACCTACCATATGAGTCATCATACCAACAAATTCTCCTCAAGGCTTAATCCTAGCTGGGGAATGTCTCACCCAAATGTTGTGAAATTGTGTTGCAAGAATATTTTGTGTTTGTATTAATTTCTGACTTGAAACATACTTGAAACATACTTGAAAACAATTCACCCTATACCTGTACTGAAGGTCACTGAACTGTTACTTTTATCTCATCTCTTTTCAGATCGTGCTAGATTAACTATCTGGTCCATAAAGGTCAAAAGTCTCTGGAGGTAAGGGAAATTATAGGTTTAGCACATTGTAAGAGAATTTTTTTATCATTACTCTTTAAGTAATCAGAAACTATAAACATTAGTCTGCAAAGTAACTTAGAAACTTGTCATACTGAGTTTTCAGAAGTTCTCAAAATAATGCAAATGTTTCCTACCTTTTCTGCTTTTTTAAGCGATTCATGAAGAGTTAACGAAACTAATAACAATGAAATCGTTGCATGTGGTATTATAATGAATCTACTCAACTAAATATGTTTTCTTGTTTTAAGTGTGAATGTGCATATTTGTAGATAAAAAATTCATTCTGTCCAAATAAATGAGGTAAAAATAAACAATGGAGAAAGTATCTTTTTCCGTTTACCACATTAAAAAAGTCCTCGCCGGATATTTGCTTTTTAAATCCTGATGGATATCTTTCCTGGAATGAGGCAGAAACATCGCATATGATGAAAAGAAGAGTGATAATGTAATGTAAATATGAGTGTGCTGCAACTCTTCTGGCCGATAAAAGAATAATGGTATCCAATGTCATTTTTCATTCGATTAGGATAGGTTAGGTTATTTGAATGTGGCTAAGGCAGTCAACCTATTGTTCTGGGTTCTAACCCAGATAGAACTATCAGTATTCAGCAGTTCTAACTATTCGTCCACTGATGGGTTCTTCATTCGGAAAATCGAATTTTTTTGTTTTGGATATTACATTATACCTCGTGTAAACAGAAGGAGCTCATCCCAGTTCGTCTCAGATTACAATCGTAGAGTAGCTTACTGAGACTGCGGATTATCTCATTGCGTAGTTGCTGTTGCGTTGATCGAGATCTAATCACTAAGAATTTGAAAACGACGAGTCTAGAAGGACCACACGGAATAACGTGCGGATATCAATGGCCCTCCCTTACCAATGCCCGAAATGCCAGACATCTTGGTTGCATCAGGGTTAGAGATCGTTCAACAACATTACGTATCCTTAATCGCTGCAACAATGTCAGTAAAGCAATCGATTGTCGGGAAGTCGACAATAACTTCAGCTTTATTTGATGCTATGTTAATGAAATAAGCGTCTACAGTGGTAATTCCAACAATGCACATAGATATGTCAATGACGTGAGGCCATCTTTTCTAACGAATGGTTTCTGCTTACAGCATCAAGATGACTACACTCAAGAGCCAAAACATTATGACCACCTGTCAATAACGAGTTGGGCCACCTTTGGCGTGCAACACAGCTTCAAGCCGCCTTGGCATGGATGCCACAAGTCCTTGATAGATGGCCGGAGACAGATTGTACCAGATGTTGTAGCAACGGTCACGGAAATCCGAGATATTGCGAATTGGTGGTCTTTGACCTCTGAGCTGCCGTCCCATAACATCCCAAATGTGTTCTATCAGATTGAGATCCGGTGAGTTAGGCGGCCAGGACATTAACTGGAAATCAGCATCATGTTCCTGGAATCACTCCAACACAATTGTAGCCTTGTGACACGAGGCGTTGTCCTGTTGGAACATTTCATTTCCAGCTGGAAAAACAGAGGCCATGTATGGTTGCAACTGGTCCGCAATGATGTTCAGATACCCTGTAACATTCATGGTCTGCTCTACTGCAACCACGGGTCCCAGAGACGCCCAAGAGAACGTCCCCCAGAGCATAATACCGCCACCACCGGCCTGTGTATGACCTACTGTTCATTGAGGGAGCAACTGTTCGCCTGGAAGACGGCGTATCCTGACACGACCATCGGCGTGATGAATGACAAACTGTGATTCATCTGACCAGGCAACTCTCTCCCACTGATCCATGGACCAGTCGCGATGTTCCCGGGCCCAGCGCAGGCGCAGTTGGCGATGACGCTTGGTCAGCAAAGGCACACGAGTGGGACGTTTGCTGCATAGCCCCATATCCAACAGCGTCCGCTGAACAGTGTGCTCCGATACTTTTTTACTTGGCCCTGCATTGTATTCGGCTGTCAACTGAGCCACTGTCTGATTCCGGTTTTGCTTCACTATGCGAGACTGTCTCCGACGACCTTTTTCTTTGATAGCGTGTGGACGTCCAACACCGTGTCGTCTACTGCTGGTTTCACCGTCATTCATCCACTTTTCATACGTACTAACAAGTGTAGATCGCGAACAACCCACGAGTCGTGCAGTTTCGGAAGTACTTGTTCCGAGCCTTCGAGCCATTACAATCTGCCCTCTATCAAAGTAGCTTAGATCCGCAGCCTTTCCCATCACACACAGAAGTAAGTGAAAGAATGATTCTTCAGACTCTCCAGCAGCAGTTAAATACCACTTCCACCTGATCACGTGCCTTCCACGTCATCCAGGCGCGTTCATCGCAAAATGTAGGGCTGGTCATAATGTTTTGGCTCTTGAGTGTATATTGGAGTATGGAAGCACCGAGGAGAACAAGTGTTGGAAGCTTGCATTCTTCACCGTCAAAATGGACAAACATCTGGATTGATGGTATAGAGTGCCACAGTTTAAAACATCGTGTTCTTCTGTCTCCTCACTTTTGAACAGGACAATGCCAGACCGCATATCGCCGACGGTGTCTTACGTTTCTTCAAAACACAGGCTGGATACACATGGAGACTCCTGCTTTGGCTAGTGCCTTTTTAAGAGCAGTACCCCAAAACTCACAATTCAGCACGACAGATAAACTTTGGTGTAGACCTGAAGCCACATGGACGTCACTAGTTGTAATTACATTCCGAGGTCCTTTTGACTTTTGATTTCCAGCCGTTTAAACAGCTGCTAGTTGTAGCAGCGTGGTTACCGATTTCCCCAAAATTTTAACAATTTAATTCTATTACAGTGTAATTGTATAGTAATTATGAGCCTATTAACTTCTTTCCTTGGTGCAGCAATTTTATGACCAAAATGTATTTTCATAAAAGTAGTTTACCTTATTTTAAGAAACTTTGTAATTAGAACTACATCACTAAGATGAATATTTAAAAGATATTAAAGGCCTTTTCCTAAAGTCCAGTGAAAAGTCGTATTTGAAAAAGAAATAAGAAAAGCTGCTTCTAAGTTTTTGTTTATTATATTTAGTAACTTTAAGCTTTTAGTGACTTTAAGATTTAGCTGAGAAGTTAATAAAGGAATAACTTTAATAGAGAAACAATTTTACTTTTGTATTAGTTTTATTTTTTTTTGGGGGGGGGCATGCTGTTTATATTTATTATTCAGAAAAAAATATTTTACTTCCCAACTTTATAGAGCTTATTACTAATATTTCTATCAGCACAGAATCCCATATAATTAAAAAATCAATAAAAATTTACTTACTCTTTCGGCAGACAATCTTTGAAGCGGCTAAACTCCTGAAGGACTAAAAATAACTCAAAGACATCAGTTTCCGACATTTTCGACAAGAATTTATTGATGTAATCACGATTTTGTGCTGTTACTACTGACTGAGAATTGTTGATCTCTTGAAGGGCCTGAAAGGAAGAAATTACTGCAATGTATTTAAAACGTTTATTGTATTTTATTAGCATATTTAATAAAGGAACGATTAGAACTTGAAGGAATATGTTACACTTTCAAACTAGCTTTACTTTTTATGCAATGAAGAAAATGTTTATACTTTTCTTCAATATTAAGAGATCTGCATTCTAATATTTATAGTTAACGAAATTTAATTTATTATTGAAAGAAATATATGTTTGGATTCAGTTTAAAAACCCTATTTAAGTAAGCTTTGCTTAACTGAAACAATGGATAAACTAACACGAATCAGTGAAGTCCAAAACAGTGATCTGGCAGTGCTTTTAAGACTAACTCTTTGACATCATTTCATTCTTCAGAGATAAGTATGTACTTTTACTCTGAAAACGATTGATCTCTATATGTTGTAAACGACATTACTTATACACATTGATGGATTATGTCAATTTAATGATTCACAAATATTGCTAAACTATCGTAAACTAAAACATCAAGGATTTCAACAAATTATAGAAAACCATTTTATAAATCGTCGTCTCAAATGAGTTTTTCTCTTTGTATAAAGAAACGTGTCAGCATATAGTTGCTAGTTCATAACTGCTATTCACATACGCCAGGAGAGGATTTCTTAAACTTGAAATTTAAGGATTCCTGAACTGAAACTGAAATTCGTCCAGATTTCTTACGTAATAGACAATATACAAGGGATGTTTTCTGCAATCAAAAGCTGGGTTTTAAAAAAAAAGCAAAGATAGATCACTTATTTAAAACTAAGCACGAACACAACCTTACACTTCATCACTTTCAAGGACGACTTGCCGCAGGTCTTTCATCTTCAGCAGAAAAGATATTTTACTTTTTTGTCTTATTTCCAAATTAAAAAAAAGTGTTACATTGGTGCGCTCTTCGTCTAGCATCAGTCATTATTTTAATTGAGTAACGCTAAAATGCAACAATATCATATAAATCGTGACTCATATAAATCGTCAATCAATATCATATAAATCGTGAAAAAGAAATAAGTCGATTTTGTAATTTTTGCCTATAAGTTTGTCTGCCAACGCAGTTTGACAACCACCACCACTCTAAGGTAAATGTGAAATCTCTTACTTCTGTTGTGTCCTACTAGTGGTGTAGCTACAGAAGAGGAGGGCGGAAGGAGCGGTCAGCCCCGGGGCGCACATTTTTGGGACGTCATTTTCCCCATGAAATATAGTATAGGCGATATCTATATGGATCTCCAGAGCAGAAAGACATACTAAAATTTATTGAATTATATCAGAGTTCACTACGGTTATCTGTCTAAGAGGCGGGATGTTTTCGTGGAGGAATAAAATTCTCCGTGAAGGGCTTAAGAATGAGAAATGGCTCATATTCAAGTTACGAAAAGGGCACTGGATTATATTCATGTCATTGCATGCGTGAATACAGTTTTACTTACCCTACGTTACACATTAGTTAAACACCAAAAGGCAGCCAGCCCGTTGTTGGGATTTGACTTCAAGACGAATTACAGTATTCAGCTATCTCACACTCGATCATTGACTAGAGGAAGAACGACTAGATGCCGAACGGTGATATAAAACTGATTTGAGGAGAGAACTTTTTTACACCGGACAAAGTATTTCAAGAAATGACAAACAGGATTCAGTAACTTCATGTTTTTGCTATAGCTGCCTTATTCCATCAAAACCTTTGAATGAAAAATACGAAGAACATTAAATTATTATCTTAATGACGTAAATAAGGAGGAATTCCACAGTGAGAGAGGAATATTTCAAAATTTTATCTCTGTTACTTCTTAAAAAGACAAAACTGAGAAGTGAAAGGACAGTTACTTTGAATTTTTACATCTTATTCTAAACCTACAAAATCTACAAAACGAAACTCCAAATGTTGTAATTCTACTTCCTCACACTTGCTTAAGTATAACTTGTCGTAATTTCTATGTGAAACCTAAGACCTAAGAACCTACCTAAGACCTAAAAAATAAATAAGTGCCATTAATAAGTATTTAACAATACTGTTTTGTCAAGAAAAGAGCAACTGCTCCAAACTTCCTGAATGTCATCGAAGACTTTGCTAAAAGAAAAAAAACAAGCAAAATAACATTTAAAAATGTCGGAATTAAAGTTTCATTTACTATATAAACACGGAGCTTTTATTTATTTACTAGTACGTCGTTTTAATATTTCATAAATATTATGTTTTGGTGTGCATTGAGAAGGGCGGTAAATGGACCTCTCCGGGTGCAAAAGTTCTCCCTACGCCACTGTGACCTACTATACGACGAAAGGCAAAGCTAACAAATACTCTAGTATTTGTATCGCAGATCGGTAGAACTGGATAGTTCTATGGTTGTTCTTCCGTGTTTAATCTCTACGACAAATATATGAAACATTTCCCCTAAGAACATTGTAATGTTCCCTAAGAACGTCTTACATGAAAGTATTCTTGCTTCAGATATAATCCCTTACACTGGTTTTCTGTTATTAAATAACTTAATGTAAATTTTTTTCAGGATTTACATCAGACAGGAGACAACTGATTAGTTTGAAGATCACGAAATAAAGCACCTGGGATTGATAAATCAGTGAAACAAAGCTTCAAAGTTTACTTTTTATGATGTGGAAAATGAAGATCCACTAAGCCTATACAACCTTACAGTTTCTGAAAAACAACGCAGCATATTTTTTTTAAAACCGAACTATGTTCGAAGTTTTTATTACCTTAAGTCTTGATTTATGAAAGTGTCCGCTTTCATCTGTCCAAGTGGAATCGAGTCTGAGAAAATATAGCAGTTTCTGCACCATCTGCTTAAGTCAATATTAATAACCACTTACCTTTGGAAACATTTTCCGCATAGAGCTTATGTACGGTAGATGCGAAACTGCACCCCTCATTGTAAGGATTAAGATAATCCGATTTGCGTTTGCCAAATTGTGAGCTTAATCATTAATATGAGATTTTCAGGTCCATTCCAGAAAAGACAACATCGACAGCTACCGTCGCTAGATCATTCAAACGTCAAAATCTTATAAACTGGAGAAATTTTAACTCTTCAGAAGCAATTTCAAGGATTAAAAACCATTTGTACTGAAACATTGTAATAGTAACCACTGTGTTTTGTCACTGGTTATCGATATCATTTATGAGGTATTATAAACATGTACACGTATAGTGTCACTAAATACATTCAAAAGATTCTAGAAAATAAATTCCTAAGTAATTTGATGAAACTTCTTTCCCTATAACAGTTTTGAAAGCGCTTTCTCTTGATTATGGTTTAGGAAACGAAGTTACAGAAGACTAATTCCCATCCATTTTTATTTCACTAATGAAATGAAATTCGTTTTACTTCAAATAAGTATAAAAAAACAGACTATTTTATAAAAAAGTATCAAAAGTTTTAAAATCTGAGAGTATTTTCAGACAGTATTCATCACATTCTAAAAAATTTGGGATTTCTTCTATTTGAATAAATAAGGTAAAAGAAAAAATGCTGAGAGATTTTCTGACAGGAAATTAACGTATTATTTTGCAATAAATTTAGCTAAATAAAAAAAGGATTAATTCTATGCGTTTTTACGGTACGTATGAAAAAAAAAAAAAGAACATGAAATAAGTATTATTTTTTAAAATTTCTCTTATAAAAAATACGTCAAATATTTTTGCACGACAGTGCGCTGCTTAATATTCTTCCCTACCTACATACAGAAAGTTTTCATTCCATTTTTATCATGAACACCTTTATGAAACCAATTTTTTGTCCCTTCTTCAAGCATATGAAACAATCAATGAAATGTTTCGTTTCCGCTTATTTTTATATGTTTTCCTGCGGTTTTTCTATACGAGTATCGGAGCTTCGCAACTAAAGTTAGATGACAGTAGAGAACCTGGGGAACTTCAACAAATTTAAAATATTTCATTCACAGGTTAATACTTTTTGATACTTACTTTTCTTCCAATTCTTTTCGATATTTCTTCATAGAGCTGAAAGAAAGTAATATCAATGAGAAACCAGAAGAAACTGAATTAACTGCATGTGCATAATTGATGAATAAAAATATCTGAATGAATTTTTTTTGTCGTTTGCATGTGACTTTTGTTCTTGCCGTGACTAATCTCGCTTGTCTGATATCATAGCTTTCCTCCCATTGGCGGGCACTTGGCAGACTTAGGCTTGGCCACAACTAAGGCCGGAAGCGGTAGCCACTTGTAGAGGCACCTAATAGGTGGGCCACCGTTACCTCCTATGAAGGGACGGACAATTACAATCATGCCTTCTCCGAAATTCGAACTTGGGCCTTTCGGTACAGCAGTAGGCTTCCCTATCCACGACACCGTCTGGGCAGCATACGATATCAGAGCAAGCTCTCGAAATTCATCGTGGCAAGGCAAGGAGGCAAAGTTTGCGCTTGTCGTTGGCAAGAGCCTTGGGCCCCAAACAGGTGACAGTACGAATTTGCTCAATTTCGCCCCCCCCCCAGTTTTGAAGGAGAATAGTCCGGAAGGTCGGGTCCGAGGGTCTCCCACCCTCTTGAGAGAACGCATATCATTTTTATAAAGTATAACCTTATTTTACGCTCTTTATTCTCTTTTGTATTCACATGTTTGAATTTTCTCTATGTAAAGAAATAAGATTTATCTCACAATGAGATTATTTTTTCTTAACCCGCCGGAAAGCGCGTGGGGTGTATCATACCCCAGCCCTACATAAAAGGGAATATCCCTAACTTGTGAAACTGAAATTCTGTGCTGCTTTCAGTAGCTGAGTGTCTAGTTGTGGCTGACGTTCAGAACCGCTTTTTCTTTGCCTGTGTGTTTCAGAAAAAGATTTATCGGTATTTTGTTGGAACTGGGGATGACACACCCCACGCGCCTGTCCGCGTAAGTGTTTTTATGACTGAATATTTAGTTCAGAAATTTATTTCTAGAGTGTAGCAGTAAATATTTCTACTCGAAAGTGATTTTAAAGTACTTGACATTAAATTCTTAAAAATTTCTAACTGCATTATGATGAAAAGAATGACTCCCTATGAATAGAAGATACAACGCCTGTGAGATTTATTAGAAATATTTGAAAGCGATGAAGATTGCATTTCGGAAACTAAAGATGAAGCTAGGAATAATTTCTACACTGTTTTGGTTTCGAAAAAGATAAAACATTAATTCCTGATGTTCCTAAAAAAGTAAAAACTGTTCTTTTGCTTTCAACATTATATAACGATAATCGTATAGATGATACTATTGGAGAAAATAAAACGTCAGGAATTATATGTTTTATAATATGACTAAGGCCCACCAGCGGCCGAGCGGTGAAGTCGCTGAACACTGGTAGTTCGGTCCGAGGTTCGAATCCCGCGAACGGGCTGGCTGCATGGGCGTTTTCGTGGTTTTTTCCCATGTGTAACGTGTATACGAGCCAGTTTTCCTTAGAAAGTCCTCCACAAAGGCATCCCTCCTCTTAGGCAGATAGCCCTCGAGGCTTTGCCATAATCACACACACACACGCACACTGTATAATATGACTAAATAAGCAGTGGATATGGGGGATGAAAATGTCAGCCAATTATTCAATTGCCAGAATAACAAGGTGGTGGCCAATGGCAATTTTCTTTCCTGCACAGAATGTTGCTGTAATAAATACTTGAATTATATTACATTCAACCGCTAATCCACCAACCAGAAAGAGAAGTCTGCCTTTGAAGGACTTAGCATTACAATTAATGAAGAAATAGTATTGAAAAAAGAACAGAGATTGATACTTTATGAAGAAACTGACGTACTGTATGCAAAACAAAAGCAGAAGTTTCGACGAAGAATTAAAACGAATATATGAAATTCGAAACAACTAAGTATGAAAGATGTTATAAATTTTTTGCTCTCGCGCCAAGGACAGAAAAACGTGAAATCAATGTGTAAAATGTGAAAACATTTTGTGCGAAGAACACATGAATGTATTTCGTTTAAAGTGTGAAGAAATAAAATAAATAAGCATTGTGTAAGAGATGCAATGAAACTTAGAGGCATGATGTTTATTTTTTTATTATTTTCATTTATCTTAATTTTAAGTCTAAGATTATTTTGGAAATTAATTTTTTGAAACCCAATTATTATTCATGTATTTATAATACACGAGAACAAGAAAAACAGCTTTAAAACTAAATAAAACTATCTTTATCGTATTTTAAATATTGGGGTATGTGATACCCCACGCACCCGCTCTAGTAACTTTTCTTGGTGCGACTTCCGCCGGGTTAAGTGTTTTAAAATCAGCTCTCCTAAAAATTTATCAGCCGTTTTAATGCAGTTTTAGTCAAATAGATTGTACATTTTATAATTACACACATAAGAATGTTAAAATTCTAAATTTCAAAATTATACATTCTTTCGCAGGATTCTGTTCTAATATTGGTAAAACTTTATATAAGATCATAAAAGTTAAAATAATGTACGGCAGATTTCGGTTATTTAAGTATATTGAAAATTCAAATACAGTAACTAAAATTTAATTCTATAGATAATTCAACATTACATTATTTATAATATTTAACAACACAGTTGATTAACATTGGCGGAATACTCTAGAGTTACATGCATAGGGCTCTTTAAAACATCAAGCTTATTAATGAAGGGGAAGAATATCTGCGTTTAATAGCCCAATAAAGTTATAAATTAAAGTGAGATGTTTGAATTATAATAATCAGCTCACTTTATGTAATAAATTACGTCATTATCTCTCTTTATAATTTTTCAGAGTCATTAGAATTACTTGTTTTCGAGCAGGCCTAGCCTAGCCTGCGTGATTATGGCAAAGCCTCTGGGCTATCTGCCTAAGGGAAGGGATGCCTTCGTGGAGGACTTTCTAAGGGAAACTGGTTCGTATGCACGTTACCATGGGGAAAACCATGAAAACGCCCATGCAGCCAGCCCGTTCGCGGGATTCGAACTTCCAGTGTTCAGCGACTTTACCGCTCGGCCGCTGGTGGGCTGTTTTGGAGCAGGAAACAAGAAAAATGAGGTAAGCCTCGCCGGGATTCGAAATTTCCGATTGTTAGCCGGATCTACTTTCCGTTACGCAATGAAGGCACGTGGTGAGGAATGAGAAAATTCCTTACAACTTTAATTACAATAAAATAATTAAGATATTCGTCCTTACAACATGCAAAGTTTTACAATAATTTTAAACCAATACTACAATAGTTTTTATAAAACAATGGAAGAGTGTACTTTTATTGATAATTTTTAGTTATTAAAGTCTACTTAACCGAAAATTTAACACGCATTTTTAGTAGAATTGACTTACATAACCTGCTTTCCACTTCCATCTCATTTACATTTTTAAACCACTTTAAAAAACAACATTTGAAAAGTATTTTTAGACTTTCCATTCGCCTTTTAAAAATAAACCTTGAAGAACACTTAAATTCAAGGGTTATCATTTTTCTCCACTATTTCACAAAATGTTTCGTTTTATGTGTTAAATGCTTAATATCACAAAAGTAAAAAGCTTTTATTTAAGAACATCATTGATCGTATTTAAAGGAGCTTTTTGAATGATTTTTAAGAACCGTGAATTCTAATTGCAGTGAAGGAAAAGGGTACTTAAAAGGGATTTCGGTTAATCTTTTTACATAAATTTTATTTATTATTCGGAAGGAAGAATTCATTACCTGTTTTTCCATTTGCTTGAATACGAGAGCTGAGTAGTTCACTCTGACTATGCTGTGAAAGGAAAGTAAAAGGCATTTTAAAATCATTGACACAAAATACTTTTTAGAACTTGATTGAAAAATAATTAGGTTTGAAGCTTTTATACAGTTTATAGATAGTGAAAAGCTTCACTGCAGAGAAGAGAATAGATATGAATTTTTAAAACATTACACTCTTAATTACATTTTACAGATTCACAACTGTAATAATAACAAAACACTTTAGATTCGGCACATATTTTGCTATAATATTTACACCAGATGAGGCAAATTTACTTCCAGTGGAAGAATTTGCATACCAAAAGATGATCACTGAAACTACCTTCGCGTCATGCTAATTTCACGCTACTGGAATCAAAGTTGGCACGTGCTAAGGTTAAAAGCGATGCAATTAATACCTGAATAGGAATTTTCTCAGTGTTTCATTTTATCTCAAGAAAGTTAAAGGTTTTATTTAACTTTTGAAAAGATACATCTGGAACAGCGACATTGGTAAGCTATTTACGGTTAAGTAGTTAGTACACGTAAACCATAATCCGAAATAAGTAACACTTGGAGCTTTCCACAAAGAGTGTTTCAGTCTCGTTTTATTGATGCCGGAGTTGGCTCATTTTATTCAGAGATCTAAAACAAATATTACAGCTGATATTACAAGTATTTTCAATGTCAGTAATGGGTAGATCTGCTCGTCATAGCTTTATTTTTCCTTATTTGTGTGTCTATTCTCTTAATCTTGCGTTTGGTAAAGTTCAGAATAGGCACTAGTTAAAATTAGATCACTGATAACTGTATAAAGGTTACTAGGAAAATGACTTTTCACTTATTGTAACAAAACAACAAGTAGGAATTAAGACGCAACCAGTTGAATGGAGAGGAGTAATATTTTCTTGGTAAACAATTGGACACATTATCTATATTAAAAAAAATTCTCACATCTTATGTTGTGGTTAGATAAAGTACACACCTTTACAATAGAGAATGTCACCCTGGGAATAGAAGTAGAACAATATCTGTTATTTTCAAAAAAGACCCAGTTCTTAAGGTATATATATATACTGCAAGAAAGGCAGAAGAAAGGACATTATTTTTCTAAAAATGTTAGGGTAAGTTTCCATATATGTGAAAACGAGCTCTTATTGGAAAAAGCGGCTAATTCACTGATCATGAGTATAATCGAGAGTTTGATGATTCAGTTTAATTGAGAGGCTCAATCTGAGCTGAATCAAATAATCAAGTCAATATATGAGGAATTTTCGGTTCCAGTCCTGATACCAAATATCATGAGACATCCATAAATACATTGTTGAATCAATGTGCCGTTGAGTGGCGACTAAAGAAAGACCCATATTACATCATCCACATAGTTTATTGGATGATAATACATATAACATACATATAATAATTTACTATAAGTATGTAATCAGCATTTAAATTTATTTTCCTCTTTTGAGTAATCAATAAAATAGGGAAATAAATAACTTAAGTCAATCTTTTTAAAAATGTGTTTGAAAAAAAAAATGAAATCATGGCGCAGAGTCTGTCGACAAGTTTATTACTTTAATGCATATTTTACTAGTTTTATTATTAAATTTGAGCCAAACGCTTATTTTAGCAGTTCTTATTATTTAAATATGAACAAAGGCTCTTACCATCTGGAAACAGAAGTTTTACAGTCAACTATATAAATGTTATTAAAGCATTAAAACTACTCTTGTACTCTGTAAAGTGAGCAAGAATAGGTACTTCTCGCCAAACAGAGCCGGGACAAGGGTGAGGCAGGTGAATCAATAGAAAGGGCGGGCGCCAAATTGGCCATACGAATTCAAAAATTACTTTAATTATGTTTTTAAATTTGTCAGTTATTATTAGGAGAAATAAGCTTCAGCAAACGTAAATTAATAAAACAATAGGAAAAACTGCAAGAAAATCTGGAAATTAATGCAATGTGCATTTCGATGTTATTTTTTAGTTATCAAAAAAGAATTTTTTAACATTTTCATTTGAAAGTTATAAATAATTGACTATATTATTTTTCTGAATTTATAAAGCTACGATTAAAAATACTTTAAGAATTATTATATAATTATGCTATAAGAATTATAATATTTTGATTTAATAAATTTACTTTTGTTTAATACAAATATAGCTATTTTGATATATATATTATATATATATATATATATATAATACAGAGGAGCGCATTTACCTTTTTGCCTCAGGTGAAAAAATATCTTGGCACGGCTCTGTCGCCAAGTAATATTGTCCTTCGCTGAGATTCCTAAGCAAAAAGAGCTAACAGCTGAGTGAAAAACAAAAAAATAAGGAGCTCAAAAATGTATTATTTCGCTGTTGTTCATTTTTCTTTGGATTTGACTTTCAAAAATTCAGATTTAATTATTTTCACATCTTAAAGCAAGAAGATTTAATACATAGATTTAATTGTCATTGGTTGTTACATACATTAAAGTTGCATCAATACATTTCACTATCGTAATTGCAGAATATGAAACGCAGAACTGCTAAGTTGAACCTATAATGCTTTGCCAAGTAAATGATAAGAATGGTGGTCCATCAAGTGTAGTCTGTTACTGTTGACGAAAAGAATGGAAGAAGCACATTGTCACGCATCGCAATGTCTGTTTTATTCACTCACAGAAGTGCTACTGCTACTTTGTGTATACTGTAGCGTAGCCGGAAATGTTGTTGTGAATGGTCGGTTTGGTAGCCATCGCTTCTTTATCACTATCGGTATCTCATCAAATAACGTAGGCATGTAACACATTCCTTTCAGTAGTGGCTATTTATAATAACAGTGAACCAAGCTATAACGCCCTTGAACAGAACATGGTTCTTTGATGCTATTAAATAGTATAAAGTAATCCACATAAATAGTCCAAATTATTCAAATAGTTATATATTCTTAAGGATATTAATTGAAGTTCCGGAAATTTATTTATATATTTTGCGATTAAAATTCACTTACCTTTCAAATAAATGGCAATAATGAGATGTAGCTTTCTGTAAGTCAATATTCAGCAAATCGATAAATTTAATAAGTGCGCGAATAGAATTCCCTCCAATTTGCTGAAAAATGAAGAAAATTACAGTCAATCTTTGTATGAGGCATAAAAATGTGAAAACACTGAAGACATTGGAGACCTACGGATCTTTGACGTTGATCTAGAATAAAAATAATAATGCATCTATATTTCTGTTTATTAGAGTACATCTTACTTACATATGAGGTAATCTTAATTCCGTTTAACAAGATACTGAAATTTGGGAGTAACGGAGGTGCATGGAGGAACCCTTGCACTCCTCTAAACAAATGAATGTTTTTCCTTGCTCAGATATTAACCAGCAAAAGCTGCCGAAAAATTTGTTCTCTTATTATTCTGTTAAATGTTTTTGTTGCAAAAATTCAAGGATCCCTGGACCGACAATCTTTTCCTTAACCTCACAATTTGTCGTGTAAATAATCAACAGTTGGCTTCTCGTTTGTTATCGGGATAGCCTTTTATGTTATCTCATTTTAAAAGCTACCAATTAGTAGCGAGTAAATTGGTTGTTATTTCAGGAGATTTCTGTTGATACTATTGGCTTTTTGTCATTAATATTAGCTGACAAATGCGTACATAATATCCTCAGTAGCCTTGGAGGTGGAAGGCCAAGGGAAGCCTGTCTTTGAGAAAAAATAGGGACTATGCTACTTGAGAGTCTCAGATCTCTTTACTGCGTTAATGAGAAGGGGAGAGAAAATATCGCAATATTACCTTTAATTTCAGGCCTTACGACAATCTGAGTACAGAATCCGCCTAAGTAGTTAGCTTTAAATAGTTGTAAGAAGCATATGCTATACAGTATAGTTAACTCGTTGAATCTATAGAAAAGCATTTGCACGTGGAGCTGAAAGATTTTTCATCAAACAATCAGAATACAAGAGTGGTCATATACGCCACGCAAGTCACTGATATAGCCATGAATCTCAATTCTCCAGGCTGGTATTTGCTCTAGGAATGTTTATTCCTTATTACTCCAAACTTTTATATTATGGAAACATATACAAAATTAGTGGGATTTGTTTGCCTTTCTACACGTCAGAGATCTCCCGTTAGCCACCTTAGTCACAGACTTCTACCTGGCAAAGGGGGTCATCAACATAATCATCGATGTAAACACAAGGACGGACGTCATAGTCGAAGCATGATGTAACAGGTCTGCGAACCTGGTCAAGACCAAGCAGTAGGACATGACCTACACCGTAATGTAAATAGTATTGTAAATAACAAATAGTGTCCAACTAATGTAATAACTAACCCTTAAACAACGGACACAGTTGACAAAGTCTTACACTAACCCATCTAGATGTATGTAAAGTGTTTTGTATTGTATTGTAAGTGTTATATAAATAAAGGATAGTAAGTGCACACAAAGCAGTAATAGGCGGCCTAACTGCCTAGATTACTAGCGCAACGATCAGGATGATTTCAAGCCCTTCTGTTTGAAATGGCAGAGCTGGTTAGTGTCACAAACACTAATTACCCTTCAGTAAAATGTAAAGTGACTCAGTTTAGCGTAATTACTGATTTTAGCGCTGTAAATGATATGGTGGTCATAAGAAATATTTTTGGAGATAACTTTACCAGCTGTAATTTGTTTTACCAAATTACTGTCTGTAACTACGGCAGGTGCAATAACTAACTTCTTCGGCTTAGCCCAGTATCAATTAGAATAAATGTCAATTATTGCTCCCGAAGCCCAATTAACACAGTCTTATGCTTTCAGTGTCTCCTAATTCCCTTCAGGGTCACTTTCGTTTTATGCAAGAGAAAGGTAGGGTCATGAGAAATTTGGGACCCACCAGCGACCGAGCGGTAAAGTCACTGAACACTGGCAGTTTGGTCCGTGGTTCGAATCCACGTTTTCGTAGTTTTTCCCATGTGTGAGGTGTATACGAGCCAGTTACCCTTAGAAAGTCCTCCACGAAGGCAGATAATCCTCGAGACTTAATAATTTAATATCACATAAGCCAAATCAAACCATGAGGAATTTGGGCCCTTTTAAAACGTGAGCTGAAGCTTGGACCTTGTATCCTAGATAGTAATCAGGTCCTGCTGCTCGATTATTTGTGAAACACTCTAAAAATACACGCGTACTTCTTGTAATTAATATTTAAAAATCACTTTAAGTCAGAAAATAGTTGAACTTAGCGATTTTGGAATAAATTGAAATAATTTATATGGTCAAAACCATTTTTATGAGTCTAATATATACGGGGAAAAATAATGGAGCGTAAAGGCGTTTACTGAACCAATTAATTTTACTAACCAATTATTTTTAGTTGTGCAACTTTCTTTTCTCTTCTGATTTTAGTTTCTTGCCATAATGTTAATTTTAATGACGTAGCATGCAAATTCTAAGTGAGTTCGGAATCAGTATTTAAGCAGCGCTTTCAAGAGTAGTAGTAGAAGCGTTAGTTCCAAATTGATGCTGCGTGTTTAAAGCAGCCTTGTACGTGAATAGTTGGTGCTTAGCCACTCTCTTTAGATCATATTGATATCCTAGGTTTTTCTTTGCTGTGTGCAGCTGATTTAGTGGTGTAGATAAATAAAGAGCCAGTCGTGTAGCCCATCTTAATTTATTGTGATTTTACATTTTTATTTTTTGTTAGAGTTAGCCACAAGTGGTGGTAATTTGTGAGCACCGAGTGAGTGCAATCTTTGTTAAGTTTAATTCAAATAAAAAGGTTATTTAAACCTTCTTCTTCAGTATGTGTTCTTCAACGACATAGCGAGAATGCTACTCAATCTTTTCGGTAGAGTCTACCCGGAAAAGAGCAAAGAGATTCTACAATCTTTTACTTTTCTATTACTGACACAATTTCATTCTTATTTTTAGCTTCTTGAAATGAAATCTCAGATGATGCAAGTAATCATTCTTTAATTATGTTGCCACCCTCGAAGGAGTTTTTGTAAATTGCATGCTTATCAGCAACCTTAAATGATGCAACACTACCAACCTTCATTTTATTTGTGGACTTCGTAAACATTGCTTGTTGCGCGGCCAATATGCTTTTCAAGTCTTTCGCTTTACATTTTCTTAGATTGTTGTTAGTGGGTTGTTAATGTTGTTTTTTTCTTTCAGAAACTGTTGAACCACAAATAGAAGAAGTACTCTTGCTCATAAAATGAATGAAAAATAATTCTTTCCCCATTCATCGTTAAAATTATAATGATAGTTTTTATTTTTTCAGCTCGTGTTATGACATGATTAGGACAAACATAAAATCATTTATATCTAAAAAACTAATGATCAACGTGCATAGACGAAGCGAATATTTTTTATACTTGTATTATGAAACCACCAGGTGACAGGTGAAGGCAGGGCCCGGACACCCGGACGGATATGACAAATCGGGTGTCGCCCGGTATCCGCACCTATTTAGAACAACACAACCCTGGCGGCTTCCTGCGAGGGCTGCATAGGGAATATATTAATGGGGAATATGAGGTATTGACGTGGCCAAAGAAGGGCGTGAGCATATATGCTTCAATACACAATTAATAAAAAGTTTCCTACACAGGTAAATTGGCTGGTATAGGTACATTGGATACATATGTATATTGGTCTAAGTGTTTAATGAGATAGGCAAACAATAAGCACTTATACATTAAAAGAAATGATACACTGATAATGCAACTGGCGCATTAATACAGAAGATGACAATTAATGAACAATTAATGAAAATTAATGAGCTGTGTGTAGAGTAGTTGATTTGGTATGAAACCACCAAATCAACTACTCTACACACAGCTTCGAAAATGTGTTTTGTGTTCGCTGGTGGGCGTTTCATGCAGGCTACGGCAAGACATTGTGGCGCTGTAAAATAACTAGACGTTGCGTGGCAAAGGTACTAATAAGCATCAGAAAATTAAAATGCAATATACAGTTAAATCTGAAGCAACCCACCACAGTATCAATCCTGACGCATGGAATACAATAAACAATGCTGCTGCCCAACCTTCAAAGTAAAATAGCGTGTCGACTGCGCTTTTGAGTGTATGGCGTAACTGCAATTTGTCTGTTCCGTTTCCTCTCTTGGCACTTGACTTCACAAGACTGAGAATGGACCAGATGCACAATACGAACTACATTAAAAGGTTCCGAGAGCCACATGTGGCTCATGAGCTAAGGGTTGGGCATTCTTGCATTTGAAATATTATTTTCTGTTCTATGCAATGGTACAAAGACCAAAATTCTGCGACAATTAAAACATGGATATGAGAAAAAATATCATTAATAAATAATCAAAACATTCCTTCAATGTTGAAACCTTTCTTTGGAATAGTGTACAATCATAGCAAGTAGGTGAAAAATTTCAAGAAAGTCCGGTTGGTAGAAGAATCAAAATTTGATTTCAAGATTTGATCCAAGTAAACAGAGAAACCAAGTAAAACATAACTTTGTCAAAAAAATAGTTCATAAAAATGAAATTTAATATTTTGATATGATTTGCTAACTATTTGTAAGGAGTTTTCTCTTTTCTGGGGATGCAACTTTTAAGCAAATTCATCTGTTTTTTTCCTTCTGGTTTTCAATTTTTTTAATGTATTTGGTTTCCCCAGTGACCGAATAGAAAAGACAAAATTTTAGGTAATTTGACTCGTTTGGAGTTCTGAAGCACTCGTGGTCTTGTGGTTTTCCCCATGTATACGGAAAAGAGAAGCCAGCTTCCTCTAGAAAGGCATCCACGAAAGCATCTCCTCCCATTGGCAGATTGCCCTTACTTACTTTACTGTCATCATATAAATATAAAAATTCAGCGCGTTGTATGCTTTGTTTAATTATTTTGTGCGAATGAATTATGCATGATTTTTTTTAAGAATCTTCCTACCATGTAAAATTAAAATTTGGCGAGCTTATAGATTTATTTTTAGAGTTTCAATATTTTACAGCCCTCCGTCTATCTTTGTTTGTTTACGTTTCTATAGTAGTTAATCATCAATCTTAGCCAGATAGAATACCAGTCTCACATACTAATAGGGCTAATAATAATAGCAGACGTAGCAATATTATTATTGTGC